CACATAACAGTGCATGAAGTAAGAAGAGACAGAGACGTTGCTTTCAAATCCCTCCAGCTCTAGCAGCATGCAGCAGGAGATAACTTGTAAGGATGTGCTTGATAATTGCTCAAATGTTACTGTATCAAGATTATCTCAGAAAGCAGGGAACTGAAATCAGGTGTTAATATGAAAGTAAACAAATTGCAGACTGATGTTCTGCAGTGAAAAGCATCTTGCAGGACTTTCCCATTCTAAACTCCTTCCTTTCCTCTGCACAGTTACTGGTTTTCTCTTGAACTCTTTCCTTCATCACATGCACATGCCTGACAGCCTAAGGAAGATTTGCAAAAGCAAAAAAGGCACCTAACTATCTTTGAAATCCAGTGACTGTTCAACCACAACAACTACCATTGGTATTTTTGCAAAACCAACAGCATCCCATCTCCTTCCTGGCCCTGGGCATGGCTCAAAGTCTACTGAAGTCAATGATCATTGAACTACAGACAACACTTGAAGTCACACTACTGGAACTCCTGCTGCTTAGAAACATTTAAAAAATGTTCAGTATCATTTTCATGCACTTTGCTTCTATCATAAATTATATCATCCTGCAACAAGATATCAGAGTGGCTCTCCGTCGTTCATCACCCTATACTGACAGTGGTCTATACACAAAACTTCACCCAGAAGAATAGGGCTATAAGTTCAAGTCCATATCTGGGGTAGATTGGTCAATAAAAATACCTACTTTCCATCAGCTGAGCATTTGGCCCATTTATTTCAGTTGTTTGGAGGCCTTAGACTGGTAGAGTAGATTTTAAGAAACTAGACACTGGATTAAAGAAATCTAGCATTGATATCAGAAATACTAACTGATAATGAGATGATTTCATTGAAGACCACCTTGAAACCTGACTTATATCAGTGGTAGAATGACTAAGGGCTTTTAAAACAATATTTTTTTTTAAGAGACCCAACTCTGATGGTTGGGACTCACAGACCAAGACTACAGTTATTTTGCAAAATTTTAAGAGCACTGTTATTAATGTCATACTTCAACTATTTTAAAAACAACGTTTATTTTTAAAAGAAAAGCCCTTGAAATTAAACTGCTATATGCAGTTGATACACTAGAAAAAAGTAGAAATACAAGCTTTCTTGTGTTGCTCTGCTTATGTGCTTTTGGATGCTGACGCTACTGATGGGGGACGTGTAATACGCTCTTTCTACCTCATCGATCTTTCACCAAAGACAGCCTGTGGTGAAATCAGCTACTGATACTATAATAAGGTATTTGGTGGCATAGACCCTCATCTATAAACCTAGCTGTTTAGACAGAAAAAAATGTGTCCTCCCAGACTATCCCAACCCATCTTACAGAAACCACATTTATTTGCAAGTTCCACTTCTCACATGAAATAGATGGATAGTGCTTAATGAATTACACAACATTACTTCATTGGTTCATTGTTGTGTTGTAACAACATATCTACATTAAGATCTTCTTGATGAAACCTTCCCCAGAGCTCCTGTTGTCAGTTGCAGAGGACACACAGAGAACACAGGCGCTTACTAGCTGTAAACCCTTGTCGCCAAACTTCACGCAAGGCAAGGTGCACCTTACAGGCCAACAGGACCGTGGTATTTGGGAAGCTCCAGCTAAAACTGAACCAGGGTATAACAGAGAGAAATAAAACTGCTCTGATCAGGGACAGAAATTGTTCCCAAATGTTAAATCTCAGCACTTTACAAGAATGGATGCTAAAGGATTTCATTAGATAAGTTCCCAGAATAAATGAGACGGAAAACTTTCCTTAAACTTTTTTTTTTTGTTTCCACAGCCTGGAACACCTTCCTTACAAAACCAGATTCACAGATTTCAGTAAAGAGGGGAAATCTATTTCTGATGGACTACTTGTTCTGTCTTGTCACTCCATGAGAAAAGTGAGAAGAGAGTTTAGTAAAATATTAATGTTTTACACTTCCCACCTAGTCTTCTTTCTGAATGTAGGTCACCATATTTACACTGTATCTTGAGCATGAATTTTTTGTTGTTTAATTCTAGTTTGACACACATTTTCTGGTTTTATCCAAATTTAAAGTAATTGAGATGCTGCCTTCAAAGAATAACATTAAAGTACTCCCACAACCAGATGTCAAACATTTGGCAGTTTAACTTACACAAAAGAAAACCTACAGCTGTGTACAAATACAGCTGCTGCATAAGATTTGCTTCCTTTTGCCTCCCTCCTCACTAACCAGAATCAGAAACAGATATTTGTAATTGTTTTACTGGAAAAAAAACTGTACCAAGAAACGCTCATCAGGTAGGAAATGCCAAATTAAGTGTGCTTCATACAACCAGAATTGATACCCTTGTACCTAAGCATCCTTAATCACTGAACATGAATTTCTCAAATACTATTTCTGTGCTACCTTTTTAAAGTTTTCAGATCCTTGATATACGGCACTCTACAGGTACAGACAAACTGTCATCACCACCAGGCACTTCCAAAACTTGGTCTAGGGCAAGCCAGCTCTAATAGCTCCAAGACCATCTCCCGTGGGCAACAAAAAGTCCTGCACCAATTCCGAACACACCACCAGCACTCAGCAGTACTGGGGCACAAGGCCATTTATTGCTGTGACTCCTCACCCTCGAGGCCATGGGCAGAGCAAGGCCAGCTGCCAGGTGAGAAAGGTGGCAGGCAGTCCCCATGAGCATACTTGAGGAACAGTCTTTGCTGTCTCCAGGCGCCGGGTAACAGCAGCACTACTGAGGTCATGAGAATGGGCTGGCGTCTGGAGCATTAATGTGGGAGTCCTGACAAATTGTATCATGTTATAAAATCATTTGGGGGGCTGGGAGGGGAAAGAAGGAAATGAAGAGAAGGAAGAGAAGCAAGGGAAGGAAGGAAGAAAAGAAAAAAGAGGTGAAGCTAATGAAGGAGAGCAGGTTAATACTTCAGCACCAGCACAAAGAGAGCAGGAATTGCCCTGGCAAAGATCAGTCTGAAAACACACCCCAATGTTAGCCTGGAGCTGTCTGTGAGGCCATCAGTGAGCTTTTTATTCAACACCTAGCACACTGGTCCTTGATCTGCGAGGAGCCCGCAAAGCTGCAGTGAGCCAAATAATAAACAAAATAATTTTATTCATTTCTTTCCTTCTGCCCCCACCTCAGCCCACTAGAACATTAGAAACTCAGACCTGACCCACAAATTTCTCTGTACATGCATAACTCCATGGTAATCTTCCTACTGAAGTCTTTGAGATGATTCACAAACTACACCTTGCTGTGCTTGCAGGAGTGAGCCATAAATTTCTTTATTTAGCAATGATGATGTCACTCACACATACACTGATTTTATTTTTTTTCTCTTCTTCTAATGAAACAAACAGGGAGGAATTTATTTCTGAAATTCAATTTAAAATAATGCTTTATGAAAGCAAAACACCTTTGTGGACTAGCATCAAAGACTGCTACAAGGCTCCATGGAAAAATACGATTTTTTTGTTTGCCGATGCAAATCCAGCAGAATCAAAGAGAATAAAAATGTAGCAACACTGCTGCCTTCCTGGTCCTAAAACACATCTAGGTTTTTGATTTCTAAGTGAATGCTTGGAAAAAAGTAAAACCAGAACTTTCTTCTTCAAACCATTTTAACATAAATAGGCATTAAAGCTTCCATTAATAGTCCCTTGAAAGTTCATTCCTAGGACTAAATGATTAGGGCATGAAAAGAATTGTGTTATTCATAAGCCCAGGTAAAAATCTGTAGACTATTACTAGGTTTCATCTCATTTTTATGACTCTTCTTCTCAAATAAATCAATCACATAAAGTTAAACTCAACATGGGGAGTTAAGCTCTCCACAGAGACTGTGGAAATTGCAAACATTAAGTCTAACAGGAAGAAAGCAAGCTGAGATAATGGATGGTTTATACTGGTTTACTTCAAAGCACTGAGAGGTGGCTGAAAGTGTTAATATACAATGAGCACTGATTCCAGAAGAAATAATAGAAGCCTCTCTTATCAAACATGCAACTGTAAGTAAAAAACCTACTACTTCTACAACTACTTCTCCAACTGCACAGAATTTCTATTATATTGAGAATCTTCTAAGGATTTTCAGCAAAATCATCACCCTTAAAACTAGCCTTAAAGTAGCAAGCCTGTGGTTGTCTTGATAACTGGAGATTTGGTTAAGAGTCTTCCATGAAGACAACTACCTTCTCAGCAAAGGGCATATGAAATCAGTCACACCTCACACTCTCCTACTGTCTGGAGATACCTGCTACACAAACCATTAAATTGCTGGAAACCTGGCACGAGAGCACAAGGCAAAAGAAACTGAAAAAATAGTGAGCTGATGCTTCTTATCAGGTAATTCAAATGTTTGTTGGAAATCCTTGCTATCTCCATACAGAATAAAACAGTAAAAATAACGCAGAGTTATGCAGCTCACAAAAATCCACATACAGTGTTTTTTGAAACCTGCAGTTATCTCCTCAGGCTATAGCGCAGCACTGTTCAAGAGAAACAGGTGACTTTGGAGAATTATGGACTAGAAGTAGTCAGAAGTTTACAACTGACACTGGCAGTCACTGGGAAAAGCATTTCAACTAAGTGTGATTTTTTCAAACAAAAATATCCCTTCTCCAGAGAAAATACCAAATTTTGAAGAAACTCCCAAAAGTCTCATTCCCACTATCTTTTTCTGCATGAAAAAGCTCCCTTAGGTTTATGACCAGATCCAATGATAACAACATGAGATTTTCTTTACTGAAAATTTTTAACTGGATGCAGCAATTCAGAAAGCTGAGCTGAAAACAATCAATGCATCATGCTCAGAGCAATCATCAGAGTAATAATCACTGAAATAATATGTTCAGAATTCTAGATAATTGTATTATTATTAAACATAATAAATATATATTAAAAAATCAAGCATAAATGCAGGCATGTCACTAACATTAACTGCACGTTTAATTCTTAAATATTTCAGACATCCTACCTCATTATTGACTTCAGCAGGTTTTTTCTTTGTTTCTCCAATATCCAAATAGCTGAGGAAGGAAAACAGTATTGATTATTTAAAGAAGCATCTAACTTACACAATACAAATATTTCTACACTTCTTTCATACATGAAGCTTTTAAAATTTATCATGCCTCAAAATAACATAAAAAGTAAGTAATTCAAGATTTTAACAAAGGGGTGTTAATATAAAACTGCAAGCTAGCCCTCTGGGCTAATACAAAACACAGGGTAGAACCATCTACCTTCAAGTCACTGGTGATTAGAACAGACCATCAATAATCCCCTTGTCAGAAAGAAGCTCACATACTACTGTGAGGTGGATCAATAAATCTCAGCACAATATCAACTTACCAGAGTTTTCAAAGTCATCATCTTGCCTCTTAGTTTGTCACAGTAAGTCTCTGATACATTTAAAGCTTTCCTCCGTACCCAAGTTTAACCCAGGGCATCAGCTACAGTTTAAAAGGATCTACACCACTTGTATTTCAACGGGACATGGACACATCTGAACACTGTATATACTGGTTTCTCGTGGTTGTGATGAACCAATAGCATCTTCACAACTATTTTATGAATGGACAAAATACCTCAACTGGACAAGAAAAAAAAATACATCTATTTGAACAATACTGCTCTCCATCAGAGTGCATGTTCCCACAAAAACATTGTATTAACACGAAAGTGTTAGTTAAAACATACAGTGATGGAGCAGCTGTATGTTGCCTTTCCAAAGAATTAAATAAGCCTTCAAGCATGAGTAACCCATAGACTGGCAAACAGGCAACTGTCCAGGTACCCAGACTATGCTAACTCATTTGCCTTGTCAGCACTCTGAGAGCCACGAGAGCGGCTCTTCTCATGAATGCAGCTCTCAGTAGCTACTAGCACTGCAAAGTGTTTCTAGTTCTCAGCGCTGTAGGAAGAGACACCTTCATGGGCGGTTATAAATCAGTACAGCAGCACCTTTCAGCACCTTCTGCCAAGAGCTAAACATGAGAACAAAAATGGCTGGGGCATCTATTCTGTGCCGGGAGCATCTAATCCAACATTAGGTGATCAGCATTTGTTACAGGTTCTCCCTATTCCCACTTTCAGTGGGAAACCACAGGTGCTTTGGCAGGCTTTTAAGACTAGAAGACCCTATCTGAGAACGTCAGGTATACCTGATGGCAAGCATCAGTGCAGGCTCACCAGAAGACCTCAGAGCCCGCAATGCATCTGCAGCCCTCCAGTAATATCATGCTCTGTAGTTAATGACTAGGATAAGATTTGTTTGCCAGGGGAAACCTTTCTGCCTGGCCAAAATTGAGAATTCATGAGACCTGAATGAAGCTGTATAAGCAAGAAAGAAAAAAAAAAGAGAAAGAAAAAGCATCATTCATTCTTTGAAGAAATGGCACTCATTTATCAAGCTACCACAGAATGGCCACAAGGATTTCAAGGCTTCAGTGTGCAGGGACAGTAAGACACAGTAAGGCTTCCAGGCAATGCTTGAAAGGGCATGCGAATGCTTTGGAAAAGGTAAATGTAGCAATGTAGGACAATGTTTAAAAAACAAGTGTCCAAACCTCATGTTTAAAAGCAGAGAAAAACAACTGTTGCAAGCTTCTCCATGTGAAAAGGAGTTCTCTTGAGACCAAAAAAAAAGAAGTCTTAAAGCCTACAAGACTGAAAAGAAATAAATGTTTCAGACAAAATAGTTGCAACGGCCTATAACAACAGCTGCTGACTGTGGTTTTTGTTTCTGGGCATCTATGAATTACTTCAAGGAGAACCAAGAAAAGTGACGAAGAAAAGCAAATATATAGTCAAAGGCTTAAATTCACTATGCAGAGGTTTGGGCATTCAGTTATCAAATTTCAGGGATCTACAAATCTGAAAAGGTCTAAATAGGGCCAAAGGCTTTTCTTGGGATAAGGGCATCTGAAAAAAGTCCAAACCAAAAACTTTACAAAAATATTCCCACTGCTAAGAAAGCAGAAATACTTCCACCCAATGACTATCCAAGCCAGCGATGAAACTACAGTGTTGTTTAAAGAGACACTGCTGGAGAGAGGACAATCTACCATTAATTAATGAGCACAGATACAAGTAAATGGGCAAAGGAAAGAGGAGGGTAGAGTAGCAGGCTGAAAAAAAGCTAAAAATTGAAACCAGCTCCAGCATAGACAGTTTTCTTTCAGGAAGCTGAGAGTCAGGGAAGAACTCCACAGGGGTGCAGGCCTGAATGTGCATTCTCCTCACAACTGCAGCAACTACAATATACCAACACACCTCACTGCATATACACCAAAAAAGCTTGTGTTCACTTAGCACACCTGTAAATGACAAAACAAGCTGGGAACCTTGATATATTTTATGGGAATTCCCAACATGGGCTAATAATTCTTCCTTTAAAGAAAATTTCTATGTATTTTTCTAAAAGAAGAATTTGTAAATGCTGGTTACTTTATTTTTATTTAAAAATGAAACATATCAGTGGTTTATATTGACTATATACCCTCAGAAGTATGTATCTGAAGATGTTAAGATTCAGGGCTTGGAATGACAGAGGTTCACATGCTAAAGGTGAGCACAGTTTAGTCTAGAGTTCACTGTGGCCAGGGAAGAAAAAGATTCAGTTCTCAGTGTAAGGCATCTGAGAAGAAACAAATGCATTGCTTGAAGTGGAGCGATGACACTTTCAGCTTCTCCTTCTCCTTGGATACTCTCTCCTTTCCATTACACTCCCACACATCAGTGCCACAAGCCTCCATTTCAAAGTTCAGCCCCACGTAGTCTATCATAGCAATGAATGTGTCCAACAAGCATCACTGCAAAAACACTGTAAAAAATGTACAAACTTCTTGCTGTATCAGACGAGACTCAGATCCTTTAGGGAAGATACTTTGGTCTCCCACAGCTGCAACTGCTTTATCTTTGCCTGTGACACATACACAAACATATGCTCTTTTCTTCAATTCCTTCAATTCCTTCCAGAAAACCGTCCCTTTCAATTAACCCCTCCTCTCCTCTGACCTTTCTGGCTAAGATATCTCCCTAATTATCATTCAGTCTACAACCGAGTTAACAACAAGATCAACATTAAGCCCTTCAGCCTGTCTTAAATAATGCTTGTAAAAGCACTGCCAACATTTACAGCACTATATAAATAAATATGAATAGTGAAGGACTCTAACTCTGAACGCAGAAATGGAAAAGATCTCAAGTCATCCTATTTATCCTCCCTACAGCACAGGACTATGGCATACTATCAAGGGATATATAAAACAGCCTGCTTTTACAGAGCCCTTTAGGTTAGCTTTTTTTAAAGTATTCTCTTCATTGACCTTAAATACTTAGGTATCTTGTTGCATGTTGCAACCATAAAAGTCTGAAAATCTCTCACCATAAAACTCTGGCCATAAAACACAAAATGACAAAAAGAAATGCTTTTTCCCCACCCAAAATAAAACCAGAATGTCCAGTTCTCTACATAGTGCATGCTAATGCCAAACACTTACTTACTTTTAGCCTGTCTGTTGAACATAAAACACATATAGGGAGGTGAAACATGATGTGCTGACAACTAACAACTTTAAGCCATCCACAGAATCTCAGGATTTAATACCAAAAAGATACAGTAGATCTTTCTTGAGAGTTGAGCACTGCATTTGACATGGAAGAGAGTACAGACGGAAAGGGGCTTATATTTAGCCTGTCATACATCTTACTCTCTAGCTTTGCCACTGAAGCGCAAGAAGCTTCAATAAATCTTCAGAAGCAGACAGTGACAAAAAAAGTAAGAGTGCTGACAGAGATCCTGTTCATTACACAGAGAGTTTTGTCCTGAAACATAATGAGCTCTCCTGAAAAATGTAGTGTCCTCAACTCGACACAGACAAGATGAGTGAGGTCCTGTAAAGCTGGTAGTTTCGCATACAAATTCCCAACAACCTCCAGAAAGGAACTGCTAATTTTGAGATTTTTTTTAATTCAGCTGTAGGAAAAATGCCCACAAAGACTGAACAAATCATATAATTAGGCAATTGAGACCATGAAATTCACTGCCAGAATTAAGAACCATTACTGATCACATGCAGAGACACTTGGGAAACACACCTAAAAGCCCAGATCTCCTCCACGATACTCTCCCAGTCACTCACTAGAAAACAGAGAAACTGTCAGCTTTATTCCTGGTGTCTAGGCAGGGAAAATAAAGCAAAAGTCATATTCTAAATAACAGGAGGGAGCTATTCTGGTCATAAAAAGGCTATATACCTACCCAAAATGAACAGAAGTGATGGAGAGATGGATAGCTGGGTAGAATATTTTAAAAATAAAATGTCTTGCTTTTTAAAAATAAGCGAGAAAGGAAGTGTCGGGAATTAAATTCCCAGGCTCATCAACTTCACAGCAGGACTGTCAACACTCCACCTTTCTACAGCTTTCTCCCTGTTACCACTGAGCAGGAATACTGACACTCGCCCATCAGTGAAGCACGCACCACAACAACATGCCATTGCCGCAAGTCGTTTGGGTTAAAGGGCTGTTTCTCCTTTTCTACCATCATGTCAAGATGGCTACATGCGACTGATGGTAACAGCAGCCTTTCTGTGGCTCACCTCTAAAGCTCTTTTGCAGTTTTATCTGTTAAAAGTACCCTTCTTTTTGCCTTGGGTCACAGCCTTTAAGTCCACTTTGTGCAATGCCTAATAAGAGGGGTGGGGTGGGGGGTCCTCTTAAGTATTGCCACTGTGCCAAACCCCAAAGGCTGATATTCAAGTTCCATATAAATCTTATGTTACTTTTTAGCGACTCACTTGAGTTTCTTGAAGGCTTCCCTGCCACCAGCCACATACTGCTCTCCACTCTGAAGCTCCTCCAGCTGCCGGACACGATGCCCACCCCGGGGGGTATAGATGTTACGGACAGCTCCAAAGGGTGCCTTCACCCTGCCTGTCACCTCTTTCAGGAACACCTCGAAGTTGGACACTTTCTTCTCATTGATGACAATACGGTGCCCCGGGAAGAAAGGGTCCCCGTTGCGATACACCCGCACGCTCTTCACCATCGGCTGCGAGAGCCACGACGCCTTCGCGCCAGGACTAGCCATGCTGGGTGGCTTCCGACCTCCTGTTGTGCAAGCCAGCCCGACGCGCTGCCTGCACCTGTGCACTCAGGAGAGGGTTCCGGCCTCGGCACCCCTCTCACCTCCGCCCTGACAACTCCCTGCCAGGGGTGAAGAGCCCACACCCACGCCAGGGCCCGGGCACCAGGGCCCACCTCCAGGGAGGCAGAGGAGGGAGCCCGGCGCCGCGGGGGGGATGGCAGCCTCCCCGGGGCTTGCGGCACCGCTGTGCGCAGCCTTGCAAGAGCGGCTCCTCCTAGGCAACCGGCTCTTGCTGCTCCCTGGCGCCTGGCGAGGCGAAGGCGGATTACACTAACCCAGGCAAAAAAGGCGTTGCACGGGAGTAGATCCGACACAGCAGGGGACCCGTGGCCTCCCAGGGTCTTTATCCTCCGGCTTTGCCATCACGGAGAGCGGCTCGCCGCTACCACCCTGCTTTCCTCGGGAGACTTTATCTGGCCTGTGCTCGTCCTCCCCCCTGCCCAGCCAGGCGGGAGCCTGCCAGGAGCCTGCAGACCCGGAGCCAGCCGCCGCGCCAGGGGCAGGGCAGGGCAGGGGGC